CTCGGAACAGCAAGGTCGCGTCGCAGATACCGTAATGCCTAGTTGTCAGCCTTGCAGCCAATCGGATTGCGCCAAGTCACACCGAAGGAAGGAGTCTCCAATAACACTGTCTTCAATTCGTCCTGAAATACAGGGAGAATCTGTGGATCTCCTGTATGTGCAGAGCACTGACAAAAATTTGATGGTTCCTGTTGGTGGTGCAGTTGTAGCTGGCTTTTCCAAGGAGCTGGTTACCTCTGTTGCAGAGCTTTACCCTGGTAGGTGTGATGCTTTGAGTAAATAAGTTACACCTACCACCTTTCATAAGTTTATCAGAATCTTAATCGCTACTAATACTCATTGTGTTTGCATCACTTTTTAGAGCCTTCTTTTGTATTTTTGTTCCTCGTATATTTTTCCTGTCGATTTTGATTTCCTGATTTTTATAAAAGCTTGTACCATATTTTATATCATATTTACTCTGTGTTCTAACATAGTTACTTTTACCCACCTTTTCACTAAACAATTTAGGTCGTGCCTCCGCTTCTCCTAGCATCGATGTATTCGCCACTTTGTTGTTTCTTGGCTGGTCTGGCTGGCATGATTTGGTAACCCAACGGGCTAAAACATTTTCGCGCTTGCTCGCAGGCCTTCATATTCTAGCCACTTCGTCTGCCGACAGTCGTATTTCTAGCTGGCGCTTGCTCGAAACACCTGATAATCATATTTCTATTGCTCTCGCTTGGAAACTTAGTGAAGCCCTGAATTCAAGTCCGGAAGGAAAACGTTGTTGCCAGCACCTAACCTTACTCGGTTCGCAGTTGTTTACACAGGGATGTTCTGGCGTCAGGTAAGCCTCATATACATCAAGAGGATGAGTATTATGGGGAAACGTAGAAAAAGCAGCGGATAGGTTAGAGTATTATTGCTAAAAATTGATAAGTATATCCTCTTCCTTGACTTTGGTGTTATTTTTCTCTTTGTGGTAAACCCTTGTATCCTCTCTATTTATAAAAATGGAAATCACAGGTTGTCATCTAGATGTTTCCTTCCTTAAGATTGCCACTTATTTGACCTATTGAATTATACATTTTTTGCATATTAAGGGTTCAAATGTTTTCCTTTGAGGGCTTGATCGTATTGAAATTTACTCATGGTCTTGTATCAATTAGTTCGATGTTATCATTATCTTCTGGATTTTATTTAACGTTAGCTCTCATTCAAAGCATTAAAATCTGCTATTAACTTGCAAGCCACTCATCAGGAAATGGGTTCGTCTCATATATGAACAATCGCCCAATATTGATCAAGTGTCACTAATCATTGTTG